TGGTTGTCAGCAGCAAACTGGTTGATCCACTCTGAGAAGGTGCTATTTAAGAGACTGAGCTGAATACAGCTCCTCAGACTGAGGAAGTCCTCAGGATGAGAGACAAAACGTTTCTACATTTTTTTGTTGTTTTGCTTTGTTTTGTTTTTTTTTAATGTCCAGAGGACCAGATTTAACTTTTTTAGATTTTTCTACCTGGATTATTGAGCATGCATCAGGATAGCTGTTAAAGTTCTAAAAATAAATATTAAAATAAGTTTGTTTGGTTTTTTGCTGTAAAACTTTGAATAAAAAAACTTTTAATGATGCAAAGATGAATAGACACTGTTCCGTTAGCCACACAGGGTTCCTTTAGTCACACAGGGTTCCTTTAGCCACACAGGGTTCCTTTAGCCACACAGGGTTCCTTTAGTCACGCAGGGTTCCTTTAGCCACACAGGGTTCCTTTAGCCACACAGGGTTCCTTTAGTCACACAGGGTTCCTTTAGCCACACAGGGTTCCTTTAGGGTGCATTCATACTAGCCCTGTTGTCCCGAACTCTTAACTCTAAAGTGACGACACGTCACACGGAAAGATGAAACATAAACATGTCGGAGTCACGAGGAGGAGGAAGGAGCTGCAGCTGATACAACTCTTCATGTGTTGCAGGTGAGTCTCTACAATTTAACACTTTGTTCTGTTTCAAGAGAGAAAACGTAACGTCAGTCTGTCTGAAGATGAAGCTGTTTGTTTGTTTGTTTGTTTATTTATCTGATTAATGACGGTGATAGAGAACGTATGTTACTTTTTATTTAATTTAATTGGTACAAGCAGTGTTTAAATGTGATTTATAAATAAATCTAACACAAAGATAATAATTTAATGATTAAGCTTCAACTTTTAATTTGCTGGCAAAGTCTGAAGACACTGCAGGTATGGCAGGATGAATTGCATTTAAACAGGAATTAAAGTCATTTATTACATCTACTCAAACGTGTGTAATTAAGTATTTTATATATATATATGTGTGTGTGTTGTGTGTGTGTGTTTAATTGCTCTTTTAGCTACTTTTGTCTGACACTGTAAGTGAAACAAGGCATTTCTTGAGTTGCTGTAAATTATGATATAAAACATATTTACTGTCTCATTCCAGAAAACAACAACAAACAACAACAGCCTTCATGATGGACAGACATCATGGACACCACAGCAGCAGCTGTCTTCACTGAAACATCCTGAACATGATCGTCACTGACATGAGGCCTCTGTCCATGGTTGAAGACGAAGGATTCACTACAATAATCCACACTTTTAATCCAGGTTACAATAATCCACACTTTTAATCCAGGTTACAATAATCCACACTTT